CACTCATTTTCACTTGTATTACTTTATTTTGTCGTTGATGGCAGTTGCTCACATGGATATTTATGCACGCAAATATTTGGAAAGAGGGAGACGTGACCTTGGTGCTGCCTTCGAATGCGTCCCTGCTCGTGCTTGATCTCACTTCAGCTGAATCGCTTCCGACTCGTACTCACAACACATGGGACCGATTCCGACTCTGACGCCGAGCAACTCAGCTAACCGGACGAGTCGGCTGCGAGTCGGAGCACTCCGGCCGCACGGCTCGTTCCGACGAGGCCCCTGTGGGAGCCCGGACGGACCCCCGCGGCGCGCGGCACGAGCGCCAGGCGCCGCCCGGCACCGGGCAGCCGTGCCGCGCCGTTTCTCCGAGACGCCGATAAAACACGACGCTGGCTCGCCGATTACGACACGCGGCTCCGCAGTCGCTGCGGCCGGGCGTGACGCTGCGTCACCGGCGCCGCTGTCTCCCGCGAAAGACGTGTTTATGAGGCCGCCGGTGACGGCGCGTGTCCGCGCATGCCGTCGCCGGCGAACTTCGGGTCTGGCGGAGCCCGGGACGGCGCCCGCAGGACGCCACACGTCCCGTCCGGACCGCCGAGAATAACGACCTCGTAAATCAACCCGAGTCCTCAGCCGAGTCCATCGCAAGGAGCGACGGCAGCTCGTAGACGAAAGGATTCAAGCGGTGTGCTTGACATGCCCCCCCCACGTGCATGTGCCATGGAGCCCAGTTAAGCCCGCTGTTTGACAAAGCCACTGGGCCCATTGTCATTGATACCAGCCCTAATATAATCGAATACGCAACACACATTGACTCCAGTTAAGTGCACAGCCTGGTCTGGCTGCCCCGAAAGTAACTAACAAGCTGTGTATCGCACTGTAGCTGGCACGAGCGTTTTTCTGTTGTTATTTGCTGGGAATGTGGCCATGCCGACAGCTGAGTACGGCAGCGCCGAGACAGACCGCTGCACGTGTGCCCTGGCCCGTTTCCGGGCCGGGAGGAGGGGGGGGGGGGGGGCTCTGGAGAACCGACCAGCGGACATCCGCCGTCTCCGCCGCCGGTTGGTCGTTCCCGCCCGCGGCGGCCTCTAGCCGGCGGACGCCTCGTGCTGTCGTGGCCGGCGGAGCGGTGGTCGGCACCCATCCGGCCCGGTTACGTAAACAAACGGCAGCGGAGGTTGCCCAGTCGTCGGCGCCGTACTGCGTACGGTTCAGGTCCAAACAGATCAGCGTGTTCGGTGTGGCTGTTGACGGAGGCCTGCTTTGCAAAACAGCTGCTGGCAGCCGTGCCTTGCGACCGATTCGGGCCTCATTTGCTTCGTCGTTGAAGCAGAGTGAGCTGATTACGGACATGGTTCTGCTGCCACGTCTGACCTGCCGCCTTCGACCGCCAAAGATCGACACGAAAAGTCACAATATAGCATCTTGGCCTTTGTTCATCATTGTATTTAAGTGTGACCTCCTTCGCCGCGATCGGCAATGCACGGAGCACGTTCTCAACGCTGCCGACCGAACCGGCGGGGCAGGTTTCCGTGAGGGGTTGTGAGGCATGGAGACTATCGTCATGACCTCAGCATTGCTGAACATAACCAGGATGAACAAAAGACGTGACACGACAAACGACTCGCTGTCTTCGGGACATGACATTTTGCGTCATCTTGTCACTGCTGAACACGCTAAATCTCAGCCATCGACAGCACAACGTCTTGCTAACGTCTGCTGCCCGTGGGAGAGTGAATCACATCCCCTCGGTCAGGCCTGCACCCAAACGATGGAATGCAGAACAGCTCGGCACATGGTGAACTGAGTCCTACGGCTCTCAGACATGTGGCGCAGCGGTCAGCGCCTCGCGTATCGCCAGACACCACTCCGATGACGGCCCGTCTGGCGTCGCCCGGCGCACCGCGGCGTAATGAGCACCGCAAACATTCGTTTGCTCTCCCGTCCGGCTAGGAGGTCGAGAGCGGGATTATCCAGCGAACTTGGGTGGACAAGTTTTGCGCTTGATAGCTTTTAAACTTTCGCTTGCATCTAGAAACATTTGAGAATTTGCCACTAAGTTTGAACAAACACTTAATTGCACAGTTGTGATGTCATCGCAGGTCAGAGTAAACACCTATACAACTACTGACACAAATTACAATCACACTTGCACAAACATAAGCACAGATCAAAAATTTTCAAAAAAAAACTTCGTTGTAATACACTCATCTTTCGTCTAAACCAAAATCACTTCATTCACTACAACCAGTTTTGATTTCAGAAGGGCACAGGTACCATTGGTATATGGTACATGCCATTCCCATTCAGGATGTTCTCAGTAAGGCTTTGAACACAGTAAAAAAACAACAGTAAAACAGGGTGGAAATCGCCCGATATTGCTAAATCCCGAATGCTGATTGTAATGCACAAATGCTTAACTGTGCACGTTCCTACATCATTTGATGTCATACATAAGATGTACGAATTGAATAAAATGCATATGGGGCGAGTAAAACATTTAGGTCACCCATTCTCAAATCGCTATCATAGGTTATTTTAATTAGCTTGCCCTGGCCATGACCTGTGGAACAACATTATTATTTCGTATTTTCTTAAAATAGCTGATATTTCTAAATGGAAAGCATGGCTAAGAACATCATCCACAAGCATTTCGTCAGCACATATTAACGCAACCAACACACTTAAGGCTTTTGAGATATTGGATTTTTCGCCCTGTAAGTAGGTAGATCACTCCATACTTAACCCCCTTCATATTCCATAATCACGTTCTGATTTATCCATGGCCATACACTTGCACTCAAATTCATACCGCTTGTTCCAGGCGTTCTCTCTACTACAAGCTCCGCTTAGCTGGCTCAAGTGGGACTCCCTGGAGATCTAGCTCAAGACCCAGCATGAAAATGACCAGGTAACTGCCCGTCCGACTTGTGCGACTTAACTGACAGTGGGAATGAGTGCTAGTAGTTTACTGGGGGGGGGGGGGGTCTAGCGGGCTGTCATTATCTGAATTTGACTATGACTACGTCAAGCCTTCTCACGTATGACCTGTCGTTTTCCATGGCATAACGCGAAACCTACCGGGTCTGCACCACCTCTTTGCCTGCTTCTTTATATTTGTTTCTGCTTCGTATCTGGAAGAGCTGCCACTTGATTTTGTGCTTTTGTTTTGTTATTTTTTGCTTTTAACGTACGGTTCATTGCGTTGCTGGGACGGAAGGAAGGATATTCCTAGAAACCTGTTCTTGGATAACGTTATAAAACAAAACCATGCTATCTCCTCACCCTGATGTTCTCCCGCCTCGTCAGCCAAACCTAACGGAAGAGCCTAACGACTCGACACCTCCACCAACCGCCTCGTCGGTTGTGTTTTATAACTTAGCACGAGCGATGGGCCACTTCCATGAACGGATGTGCCAGCTTGTATGTAACACAAGCAAAAGAACAACAACAAAAACGGCGCCTCAAAACATGAAGACACAAACGCCATGCGAGCTGTGTCAAGCTGTGTCGAGGAGAACGTAATCGGCCTTCTGGCGTCCAGACCCGGTCCTCACAGCGCTGCAACGGAACCGACGCCTCAGCAGATGACGTGGATGCATGACTGCGCTGTCAGACGGAGAACAGACATTCGTGGACCGGCGGGAGGTCCGTTCACATTAGATCAGAGTTACACACCCGCGGAGGTGGAGAGAGGACCGCGGATCTGACTGACATGCACCGGCGCGCCGCAGTACCGGCACGCGGCGCTCGGCACGCGCGCACACACCGCGTGGGAACGGACAGTGACATCAGCGTACCACGGCTGTCGCCCTGTCGCCTCGGGCGAGAGAAACGCACCTGAGTTGGTTATCGGGCAGAACGGGCACGCAACAACACCATCAGCCGTAACGTCAACTGGTCACGCAACAACACCATCAGCCGTAACGTCAGCTGATTACGCAACAACACCATCAGCCGTAACGTCAGCTGGTTACGCAACAACACCATCAGCCGTGACGTCAGCCAGCCACGCAACACTATCCGCCGGGACATCGGTCAATGGCGTCTACATGTGTTTCCGCACCCGCTAAAACTGAACAGCTGCTAGCGATTCGTGCCCAAAAGCATCGCCGTTAAACACGAGCTCGCGCGAAACCAGCGACGTAACAAAGCGGTGGCGCGTCACTCGCTTTTTCTCAGTTCGGTTGGTAGCGGGGTCTGAGGATAGACGAGACCGCTGACCTTTTTTGTATTCCCGAAATATTAGTGACTTCAGACATGAGTTCACCTTTTTCCCCTGACGTTGCATTTGGTGGCACACACAAAGACACGGCAACTTAGCAAAGCCGCTTCGAAGAATGCAGTCAATTCAAATCGTACGTCACGGCATCAAACACATCCGGCAAATACGAAAAAGGGTCGGCAAAGGAATACCTACCAACGTCGACAATTTTGAATGCAGTGGATATCGTGGTATCTTTTCGCAATGGAGTTCAGACTGACGACATAAATGTGTTTCTGGTGTGCGAAGCGAGCTGGTGGCCACGGACACCACATCCAACGTTGAATGTAAAGCTCGCATCGTCGCATGTCACGCACACCACAACGACCAAATATGAAACATAAAAGCGATCCGGTGAGGCGGAGACCCCCTACATAATCAACTCCCCAATGGCCCTGTTCCGCCATCGACACATTCCACGCGTCGACAATTCCCATCCATTCTATCCCTCCCTCCCTCCCCCCCCCCCCCCCCCCGGATGACGAGTCGCCAGCCACGTCGACAACAACCGTCCCTGCAGCAGCCCCGCTCGAGCGCCGGGCGCCTCGCACGGGACCCTGGCCTCCCTCGCGGCCACCACCGGCTTTCGGGGCGTGATGCGCCGAGCCGACCCGACCGCCAGCGGCTGGTGCAAAACACCGCGGCCGCGGCCGGCGGCGGTTCGGCCGGCGGCCGCTAGGCGGCAGGTCGGCGGCGGCCGGGCGGCCAGGCCGGGGCCGCAGAGCGAGCAGTCGGCCCCGTGACGCGGCCACCAGCGCCGCGGTCCGCGATAGTCCGCGAGCCCACAGCGCGCGCCATGGACGTCAACCGGACATCGCCGGCGGCCGAGCAGGCCGGGGGCGAGGCGGGAGAGTTCCGCGACAAGAAATTCCTCTTCTCGGACGCGCGCGGCGGCGGCCGAGACGTGTGGATCGTGCGCGGCTTCCAGGTGTCGAAGCTGACGCTGTACCAGGTGCTGACGGTGGCGCTGGGCGCGCTGGCGGTGCTCTTCCTCATCCTGCTGATCGCCGTGTCGGCGGGCGGCGGCGGCGGCGGCGGCGCGGCCACGCCGCGGTCCAGTGCGCTTACCGGCCACGAGTGTGAGCAGCCGGCCTGCATCCAGCAGGCGGCACAGATGGTCGGCTACATGAACTACTCGGTGAACCCGTGTGACGACTTCTACGAGTACGCCTGCGGCCAGTTCAGCGTGCGCCACCCGCGCGGCATCCACATAAGCTACGGCGTCAGTAACATGCTGGAGGACTACAACCGCGGCCGGCTGGAGGAGCTCCTGGAGCAGCCGCAATTTCACGACGACGACTCGGCCACCAGCAAGGCGCGCACGTTCTACACATCGTGCATCAACGCCTATGACCAGAGTGACAACAACGCACGCAGCATGGTGGACCTGATCAACTCGCTGGGCGGCATGGAGCTATTCGGGACATGGCAGGAGGACGGCTGGGACTTCCTCCAGACGTTCCAGAAGACGCGCGAGCTGCACCGCGTGCGCCTCTTCTTCGTGGTGATCTGGTTCCAGAAGCTGAACCGCATCATCATCCGGCTGCCGCGGCTGGGGCTTAGCGTGAGCAGCGCCTACAAGGTGGGCGACCCGCTGCACAACTCCACCATGGACAACTACCGGCGCACCATCACCAACGTTCTGGAGCTACTGGAGCGCGACAGCCTCGTGCTCGAACGCAAGGTGGAGCGCAACTGCAACAGCTCATGCGTGCAGGAGATCGTCGACGACATCGTGGACGTGGAGACGCAGATCAGCCAACTGGCCCCGGGCATCATCGACATCCTGCCGAGTCCGCGCAACAACGTCAACATGACGGGGCTCGGCCAGCTCACCGACCGCATTGACTGGATGGAGCTGATGGACGCGCTCTTCGGCAAGGGGTCCATCACCAACACCGTGTCCGTGCACATCCCCAGCCGCGACTACATGACCGGCATTAACAACCTCATCAACAAGACCAGCAAGCGCAAGATGCAGCACTACATGATGTGGGCGCTGATCCGGCAGTACCTGACGGCGCTCGGCCCCAAGTACTCGATCCTCGGCCAAGAGCTCGAGCACAGCATCGACGGCCGGGAGACCAAGTCGCGCGAGCAGATCTGCTACGACCTGCTGCGGACGTACATGGGCCGCGCCGTGCGCGCGCTCTTCATCTCGGGTCACATCGGCGACCAGAAGGTGGAATCCGTGCGCTCGCTGGTGGCTGACGTGCGCGATGTGCTCAACGACAGCTTCGGCTGGATGACAGAGTCGGCGCGCCAGACGTCACAAGAGGTGCTGCGCAACCTGACGGTGCTCTACGGCCACACGCCGTGGATCACCAACAAGCAGAAACTCGACGACTACTACAAGCACCTATCGCTCGACACGACCGACTTCTTCCAGAACTTACGCGCCGCCTACGAGTCCCAGTCGATCGAGTACAAGAGCAAAGGCACCACTATGGAGGACGAGAGCGAGGCCGAAAACGGCTACTGGATCAAGTCGGAGCCGTCCGACGTCAAGATCTCCTTCAGCCCGCTGCTGCTGGCCATGAACGTGCCGTACGGCGCGTTGCAGGTGCCCTGGTACCACCACGAGAACCCCAGCTACATCAACTCGGCGGCGCTCGGCTCGATTCTGTACAGCGTGCTGGCTCAGCCGTTCTTGCTGCAGCACCGCACCTTCCGCACGCCCAACTGGTGGGACACCGAGACCACTAACAAGTACAAGGACTACAAGACGTGCATCCGCGACCGCTTCAGCAAGTACGAGACGCACATCCCACGCGGCTTCCAGATGAGCCAGGGTCGGCAGAAGGTGATGTTCATGCGTCCGGTGGTGCCGCTCGACCCGCGCCCCTCCATGGACTACCTGCAGGCGCAGCACTATGCGCTGCAGCTGGCCTACAAGCTGCACAAGAAACTGGAGGCCAAGCAGACCTCCGGCCCCATCCTGCTGCCGGGCATGAAGCACACGACCACCGACCAGTCCTTCTTCCTCGCGTACGCGCAGAGCCGCTGCCAGAACAACCAGATGTACCTAGAGGTTCTACTCAACGCCGCCTTCCACAAGTTCCCGCACCCCAAACTGATAAACAATCTGGTGTTCAACAACCCGCATTTCAAGGAGGCGTACCAGTGCAACAAAGTGCCGCCGCAACATTCCAGTCGAGAGTGCAACCTGGTCTGAGCGCCCAGGCGAGACCGACCGGTCCGGCCCCGGCGGAGCCCCGCGCGCCGCCAGTGCGCCGCGGCGGCGGCGGCGGCGGCGGCGGCGGCGGCCAGTGCGAAAGCGCCGCGGCGCGCGGCGTCTTCCAGCGCCCGGCGGTGGCCGCACCGTTACCGGACCGGTGCGCGGCCACGGCCCCGACCCACCGCTTCCGCGTGGCCGCCAAAATGGGGCGCCGCCAACATTTGGGTCGCGGCGCGCCGCCGGCTGTGTTGTGATAGCGCGGCGCCGTGTTGGCAGCGCTGTGATCGGATCCTCCAGCGGACGCGCGCGCGCGCGCGCAGGCGCACGACAGCGCGCGCGCCCAGCCGGGCGGCGCGTGTGCCACGCAGAGACGTGCGCTAATCGCCTGCGGCCGCGGCGCCAATGAAGTGTGAATGCAGATGTGAGATTATTTTGTGGAGCTGATACGTGTTTTATGCGTTGCGGTCGTCGAGTGCCTGGACAATACACGGAGATGTTTCAATGAGGGTTTTCCGAGTCTGTGGAAACGATCAGGCGCGCTTAGGTTGTGTGCACACACAGCTGCAATGTAGCGGCACAGAGAATCGCAACTCGTTCTGTCGTGCACGCTATTTTAAACTAAAACTAAAATGTTGGCTTCAGATGGTCTGCACGTGTGGCTCTGGGCTCAAGAGTCATGCTAAGCACGGCTTGTCCCGTGCACCTAAAATCCCAAGCATTGCGGTTTCTGTTCAGCGGATAACTTCGCCTGCTGCCATTTTGGTCGGACTAGACCGCGCCGTCCAGCGATTTTTTCTCCAACTGTAGTGTTAAGGCACGGCCGCACCCATGACATTCAATCCTTTCTGGTCAGAAGCCAACTGCCGTTTGCCTGAGGGTCGGGCTAGCCAGCGCTCGACTCCGAGGATTCGTGTATAGCGTCGTAACAACATACGTAGCGTGGGTTTGTCTAGTAACAACCCCAAACTCTCCCCAGACCTGGGTACGACGGGAACGCGGGGCGGGAGGGGAAGGGGGGGGGGGGGGCAGAGCTGCAGCTGCCTCCACCTCGGTAAAAATTAGCATACATCCAACACCGGTACTCGGAGACGGCCGATGTAACACTTATGTTCACGAGCAACTACTGCGAGGTCCTGCCGTTGAATCCAGACCAACAAATGACATAAGCTGCCGTGTCAGCCACATTACACAACATCCTGATGGTAAGCTGATTGGGCAACGGAATCCAGATGTATATGTGCCCTTCATGATGCGGCTAAAGAAGGTCTTGCGCGCCTGTATTTTCAACATTGTTAGCAAGCATTGTTAAGCTCATGACAACCGACCCATAATACATGTACCACAAAAACCAGGATAAATTCGGAACGTCGGAGGCCGTCTTCACTACAAAAAAACTCAGCTGTAAAAAGACAGCAAAAGAGACCTTCTGTTAAGTCCTATACCAAACACCAAGTTTTTATTATCTCCTCCACTTGAACTATCTCCCGCTGTTTTAACAGCGATAAGTATATATCATGCACAGATATGCATACATAACAGAAACTGACGCTTTTCGGCAGTAGTTCTGCGAGCGAATCCCGCTTGTAAAGCCACAACGAACGCCATAACAGTTGTCACCTTTATGACCGCAATCTTTGGCACAGATCGGAGATGGACAGGAGATGGACACACAAACGATGGTGGCCCTCCAAAATGGTGTATTAGCCCCCCCCCCCCCCCCCCCCAACAGATCAACCGTATCTGATCAAGCCAATGACACTGCCGAAAAAGTGTTTTAAAAGCGCGCCCCGCCGACTGACTGCAGCTATGTTTCACGGGTACCCACGGGCAGATATTGTGCGTGGTAGTGAGGACCCGCGCTAGGGGCCAGCGGTGCATGACGAGACAGGCAAGTTTTTACAACATAGCCATACGGGCGGCGCCACCTAAAACAGGAATTGCACAACGAAAGCCCCCTCCCCTCCCCCGAACTGGTGAGCATGGCCACCGCGCATGTTAGTTTTCCCCGGGTCTTTTACGCGGCAAATGTTGGCACGGCTTGCCAAATGGGCTGAGATTATGCCTACATGGCGTACACCGGGCGTCCCAGCTATCTGTGCAACTGTAACGGCGCACTTCCACAACTGGTACCGTGTCTTCGTTGCCAAACAAATGTTTTGTTGCAATGGAGTGTTCGGAGGTATCTCCTGCTTTTTGCCAACACATCCGAACATATTTTCATCAAGTGCTTGCAGTGCTTGCAACACTTCACGACAAAACACCAAGCTACGGTTGAAAATTCTGTTAAATACCTATCAAGGTCCTGGTAATACGATAAGCTGCTGCAGCCCAGCCACATGCGCCTGAGAGCAGGAGCTCAGCCTCGTCAGTTGTCTGCCCTCAGCAGGCGTGCTCACAGGTAAGAACGACGCACGAGCTGAATGACCAATACACTGGTCAGCAACACTCCTAACTCCTAACTCCATGGCCTGTCACCACAAATTGACACGACTGCCGTGGCTGCGTACTCTGCGTGGAGGCAGAGTCTTCACAACTGAACCGGGGGCGATAGATGTGAAATAATTCGGTCCGAGTTGTGCCATTAGTTCAACACAGCAGTAACTGCAGCATCCACAAATCAGACATCGACGGTTCACACAGGCTGTGAAACGAACGGCCTTCACTTGGCAGCTATGCTCCACCCGACACCACACACTTTGACCGTTTCACATCCCGAACGTGAAATGCATACAGGAACCTCATTCGATCACATTAATCTCCTTCACTGGCGGGATGGAGTTTCATTGAAATGCCCCAAGGGATAAAGCCCTTGCTCCCATACCAGGCTCTGAGTCCAAGGTAGCCACGTTAGTTGCACTTCTGGTGTGTATCTGGTCAGATAAACGGCATCAAATGCTAGCCCGGCCGTCCTTTGGTTGGGCTCAGGGGAGCCCCGTGAAAAACCGGCTCGAATCCCAGTCACGTCATGAATCCTGGGCGTTAACGTGACCATTGGCCAATGAGGTTACATAATCAGGATTCGCGATGACGTGCGTTGCTTTCCGTATAAAATAGTTCGTCTTTATTCTAGCCTGAACGTTCGGCTTGAAGACCTATTCGGCAGGTGAAAAACTTTCACAAACACAATGCAAAATAGGTAAAAGGTCATTTCAAACGTGTGACTTGCCTTGAAAAGTGGCACTTTTGGAGGTTACTGTGAAAAGGCTCAACAAAGAATGGGAGGGTGGAAATGGTCGTCCAAATAAAATAGGAATCAGCGAATTTTGGGCGATAACTTTATACATAACCTCATACAGACGAATAATACGGGCAATTTTCTTACGGTTATTCCAATATCCGCTGCATCTAATGTCTACGTCTGGTTTAAACGGACGAAATATAAGTTTGTCACAGCATACCATGGCAAACCTTTTGGAAGCACACCTGGAGGCTATTTTCTGTTGCGCTGGCTGATCATCCGCAACAGAAAAATGCATGATGGGCGCTTATCATCTTGCGGCGCGCTGCGACACTGCTGAAGTGGACGACTGTTGACTCGTAGCGTTCATATCGTTGAACACACGTTAACAATGGGAACTATAATGTTAGTTTAAGCAATATAACAGGGCATTCTTATGTTTCGAATTCTTACCTTAAATAGCTGAACAGCTTTTACATCTACATCTTATTCATGCTTGGAATCTCGCACAAAAAATCCGCAGCAACAGTTGCAAATGCTCCTACAGTGAGCTTATCTCAAACCTGCATGGATTTGGGAGGAGAAAACAACTCATCTAAATTTTTTACAAGCGCAGCCGAACCCTTGTTGGTTGGGCCCGATCTTATGCAGCGCGCTGCAACATGTACAAATGCAGAAATCACAGGCTGACGGCCGTAAGAGACTAGCAGCTAGCACCAAAAACAATTACAGCCTAAGTGCGTCATTGCATTGTTCTGTCTTATCCTGTTCCGCTTAGTTAAGTTCAAAATGGCCGCCGCACGCGGTGCTCGGTGTGACCTAATACGCTTTGAAAGATGACAAAGACGAGATACAATGCATCAGCGATTACGTCACGGGCAAGTGAGGGCGCCCAATATTCTCCAAAATGCACGATTCGGTTCGATCAAAATGCAAATTTTCCATGCGTCTAAGTTTGGCGTGTGCTAGCTTGCAGTGCTGCGAGGTTGGAAATCTAAAATTCCACCATAAACTTAAAAATGACCTTTAATATACCAGAATGTAATGGTTAAATACAACAGGCAATCAGCCGAGCACATTATGAGGCCACTTAACGTTTCAAGGCAGTTTTCAAGGTCATTCGTAACTCGTCACGAGTCACGCTTGTGGCCAAGAGCACTGCTTTAAAACACCGATAAATCTTACACTATGTACGATATATATATATATATATATATATATATATATATATATATATTCCTCTACCTTAGTAACTGGTTTATGTAATACCCGACAAATCCTACCTATTTCACCAATATACCTAGTCAGCGATTTTCGGAATAAGAACTCATAATGCCGAAAAAAGCTAGGGGTTCGCGGCCCTTCTTCCTTACATCAAGAGTTACAGTCCCCATACAGCTACACGGACAGTGATCAAAGACCCAACCATGGTCGTGAACACACTGTGTGACATTCGCCCGCGTGGCCCGTCCGAGATATGCCGATTCGCACATCCCCGCACGTTGCGCCGCTCTGCGATGTGCATATCTGCGTTCACGACGCCTAACGCATTCAAACCGCCTCCAGTGTGAAAAACACCACGCACGAAAACTGCGTCAAACAATGGCGCATACGGAAGCAGAGTGGAAGCTTCGAGATGCGCACAACAGCGGTGGCGGGCCGGGCCCGGAGGGTCGGGGGAGGGACCGACGGACGGGAACAGCGAGTCTTCGCCGCCTCGCAGCCGGGGACGCGACCGGACGGACTCAAGGTCGGCCAAGGTCAGATCGGGAGGCTGCCGTGTCCGGACCGAGCCGCGCGCCGCTGCCGCACAACACTGACAATCGGTCGGAGACGTGCGTCGCTCGCTTGTCCTGCGCCGTTGTGCTCGTGTTTTCCCTGT